CTTAAAATTAAATAAATCATCAAGAATAAGAAGACCAAAGTCATAAGCACACAAAAGGAAATAAATTTTACTCTTATCATATGAAATCGATTGCATGATTTATCTCTAAATTTAACAATCATTCTCCTTTAAAGAGATTTAATCTTAAAACTTTCGAGTTAGCTTCACAAGCAATTAAAATGTTCCTGTTTTTTAATGGACATTAAAAATTTTCAAGGATATTTAGATTAATCTAGAATCAAAAAATTAAAAATATTAATACTAAAAAGGTTAATTATTTATTGTTAATTCATATGAATATATAATTTTTAAAGTAAATTTATTGGAAAAACTTTCGGTATAAATTTGATATTTTGTACACACAATGTTTTTTTTCATGATATTCTCTCGAAGTAATTTTCTGACAATTTGTATTTTTTCTCGTTAGCTCACAAATTGAAATATAATACAAAAAAATATTGTTCATTTTTTTTCTTTTTGAAACATTCGAAAAGGAGAATAATGAAATTGTTTTTGAAAAAAAAAAACTTCTTTCTGTTAAAAATATTAGCCTTGATATTTCATTTATTTGATTATCAATATATTTTACGATGTTCAATATATAAGTAAGAATATTTTGAGAAGATTTTAAATAATGTATTACATAATCACTATAATTTTAAAATATTTATTCATAAAATATTGTAATAAAACTTTATCGTGAATACAAGAAAAATCGAGAAAATTATTTTATGTACAAAAAGTTTTCTAAAACCTAAAAATGGTATTTATTCTCAACTAGAATACCTGTAGTTTTCAATGAATCTTTAACACAGCTTTATTCTGTAAACTTTTATCTCAAATATTTTTTAACTGTAATGTACTTTCAAGAATTCGAAATATTTTACAAAATTTAATTTGTAATCATCAATGATTCAAATTTTGATGAGTAAAATTTAACATATTATTAAAGAATATAGCAAAAAATAAATATTATTTCTAACTAAAATAACTTATTGTCAAAACAACTTAATAATTTATTTTTTATTTTTACAAGGCGCAAACATTTTTAGAAAAGATTCCCATTTCAAATTGAAATTTGAAAACGTTACAATGGGAAATTTTTACATTCAGCACAAATGCCAATTCATTTCAAAACTGAATTTCGAATTTCTTTTTTTGCTATATTTAAATAAGTAGCTGAAATTTTAATTAGAGTTTGAAAAACCACTTTCAATTTAATTAAACAAGCACTTGTAATAAATTTAGTTTAAATAATTTTGATAATTAGTATTTAAATATATATGTCTTATTTCTTTAAAAAAGGCCTCACTTTCTTATTCCACAATATAATTATGTAGGAACTAAACTTCTTCATATTTATTGAAATTGGAATCTGAAAATTATGAGATGAATAACTTAATTCATATCCCCATCATCTGCTATTATCTGGAATATAATTGAGTTCGGATTTCACATAGGATAAGAACTTATGCTTAATTTTTGTACATTTCCTAGTTCTTATTTGAATTAATATAGAATTTTTGCACTTATACAATTCGTTCTTTCAGCCCCAACCCTACGACTTCGGATATGAAACCAACGATGACTACGGTACCACCACCTTCCGAAAGGAAAGCGGAGATGGTCACGGACGAGTCCAAGGAAGCTACGGATACAAGGTAACATGCGAATAACTGCAAATGAAATAGTACTTTTTTTGTGAGATATAGAGAACAGTTTTAAAAATGTTTTATTTTAATACTAAAATAAATGATCTTGCTACAATTAAATGAGTACATTTATGAAATACATTATATTTATTAGTGACGACTAATAAGAAAATATTTTTTGAAAGTTTTGTATTAATTATGTATTGTTTTGCATGAAAAATGTTTTATAAAACGAATCAGTTTTGATATTTGTATATCTTTTTCTTAATTGGAATAAAAAAATTGAAATGTTTAAAATTTTGATAGGGTAAATTTATAATATTTGAATTAAAAGAAAACCTTTCAAAGTTAATTAAACCGAAGAAAAAATATCGAAAATACACGGACTTAGCAAAAAAGCCCTTTTAATGTATAATTTTAAATCTTATTTTATGAATTATTACGGGATCAACAAGTATTTACTTTATGTCATATTTCCTCGGTTAATAATTATAATCTGAAACTTGACTAAGAAATAATACTGTGTTATATTAATATAACATTATTCTTTCTCCATCTACTCTAAAAATTACCGATCTTTGCTTTATAAGTGATATTTTTCGGAAAATTTATGAAATATAGTCATCAAAGTTTTATGTTTGTTATGTTTATTTGTGTTATGTACTTGGAGATATATTTTACAAATTCATAGGTCTCGATTCAATTTCATATTTTATTGTTTTAGAAAATTGAGATTTTCAATAATATATATATATATATATATATAATATATATATATATATATATTTCCCTTTTAAAAGTATCCATAATAAACAGTTTTTATTCAATGGATTTATACTATTCTGATAAGTAAATTAAAAAAAGTTTACTAAATTAGACAATTTAATGAGAAACACAACTGGATCTATTTTTGAAATGATCATCCATATTGATGCAAAATTAGAGTAGTATATAAAAAAGGCAAAATTTAATCTCAGAAGATGAAATTGAACGTTCAAACATCCAGACACTAAATTAAAAAGAAGTAAAATATAAACCCTTAAAAAGTAATAAAAAGACAGATTCCTGTCTTACATGTGATATTTTCCTACAAAGATTTTTCTTTAATTTCATTCTTATTCTTCTCAAAAACAGGATCTTCACGGAATCGAACGAGTTGTAGAATACGTCGCTGACGAGCACGGTTACAGAGCTGAAATCAAGACCAACGAACCTGGAACCGAAAGCCAGAACCCCGCTGACGTCGTCCTCCACGCCAACCCCATCGTTGTCGATGAACCCAAGGCCTACTCCGCCCCACGACCCCACTACCAAGCTCCCCACTACGCCGCCCCTGCCTACCCCCATTATTAAATGATTACGTTCTTCTAATTCACTTTTCTTTGTAAGTTGTTATTTTAGTAAGACTATTTAGTAACCAATGTTACGTCCATACATCCTTGTTTACCACATTATTAAGCGTAAAAATTTTAAAAAACAAAAAAAATCAGATATTTTGGGAATGAAAAATTTAATTAAGTAATGGATCAATAATTTATAAAACAATATATTTATTCAGTGTAAAGAAAGAAAATCAAATTTTGTGTCGATTGAGAAGTACAAATTCGTAATGTTCAAGTATAATATACTCATGTTTCTAAATTTACTTTTGTAGTTCGAATTATCTAGCGCTACATAAACATAGTTAAAAAGAAATACATGTGTGAAAATACATAAGCGTACAAGAATAAAAATACATAAGTCAGCAAAGAACCTCAGTTTCAGGTCCTTTTATCTTTAAATCAGTGGCGTAACGTACACCTCCGCATCGTGTGGAGGGGAGCAGGATTCTAGGGGGCTTAAAGCCTATGTTATGTTATGGTTTTGCAATCCTTTGTAAGATCCGGCTTTGGGCCCAAAACCTGACATTGCAGGTGGCCGTGGTATTCTCAGTTATGCCACTGCTTTACATAAATTAGTTTTTTTCTTATATCATAACACACGCTAAAAATAAAAAATTGAATGCTCATAAATATAACACTTTATAAAAATATTGAACGAAACAGAATCCGAATATTTAAGTGAAAATCTTCGTTTTATTTCTAACGTTAAGGAATATTTTTTAAATTCAGTTTAATTCGATCTTTTTTTTAAAAGAAAAAAGATATACATCTAATTATTATTACTAAGGCGAGACCGAATAAATACTCTTCGTTGACATTTTTAATTTATTAAAATGATAGATACTTAACAATGTTTTTAATTATGGTGTCGAGTAACACATGTTATCTATGTTTAACAGTGAATATACAATTATTTCCTCTTTTTTCAGCCTCTTTCACTGAACAAGTTTTCTTCTTTCTAAATCAAGTCCTCTTGAGTTCTCCAAAGAGTCAATAGAAAAGCTTCCAAAAGATACGTACCTGCATCTCATTGCGAGATACTTTCTTCCTATTCAACGTGTATGGAGCTTCCGGCCATGCGTTCTTGTTCAGAGCCTATTGCATGTTATTTAATTGCTTTATTTATTGAATGCGTGTTATATAGCGTTTGTTATGTTTGAGCATAATAAATCATTTTTTCATTGAATTCATATGTCAGTCGTTTTTGAAGTTTTCTTTTCGTTTTAAGCAATTTTAAGAAAAAATAATTTTGAATTTAATGAATGTATATATATATATATATATATATATATATATATATATATATATATATATATACGTAAAAACATACAATTATATTAATTCAATTCAATTTTAATTCCTACTATTCCTACTACTACTACGGCGTATAAGGCGCAGTTTTTAACACAAAAAATAAGATCGAAATTTACGGGTGCGCGTTGTGCGCCGGATATAAAAATGACAGCTTTAAAAAAAATGAGAACAGAAAAAAAATTAGGTTTTACATATATTGAAATACTGTATAGTTAAAAGAAATGACATTCCTTATGAACTTAAAGAGTTGTAGTTTTAGAAATATATACTATTTTTTTCTAAAGACTGGAATAATACATAGAATAAATGACTTCACAACGTAAGTACATTTCAGGTTTCTTCGTAAAAAAGAGGATGCGCGTTATCCGGCGAATATACCAAAAAATTAAAAATTGCAGCTACAAAGTATAGGTGCGCGTTATACGCTGGGTCTTACGGTATATATATATATAGTGTTCAAATTTTCAATCGTTAATAAAATACTTTCAATTCATCCATTCAAGTTCAAACACATCTTTTTAAATTTGTAGGGGATGACAATTGATGTTAATACATTTTCCAAATATTAATTCATTAACTAAATTAAATATGAATAAATAGTAACAAAAATAATAGTCCAACAGTATATATAGAAAGGAAAATTGTTCGTTGTGTCCCTGTAGCACAATGGATACCGCGTTGGACTTCAAATCCAAAGGTCGTGCTTTCGAATTCCATCTGGGATGGCTTAATTTCTGAGAATGTGCTTTTTTTTACTATACTATTTTATTGGAATACTTAAATTTAATTAATGAATAAATAGAAACAAAAAAAAATTGTCCAACACACTATATAGATAGGAAATGGAAAATTGCAAGGAAAATCTCTTTCTATTTTGTCACTTAATTTTTTGTGATTCTGTCATATGTATATACATATTTATAATAATTGTAACTCTAATAAAAAGTGACCAAATACAATTTTTCTTTGTTGACCTAAGTAGGACTGGCTTAAAATTTTTTTTTTTATATTACTTGTTTTTATTTTGTGAATATATTTACAATAAAGGGAGTGAAGAATCTAAGGAAATAATATATATTGCAAAGCATCAAATAAGTAATTTTAAAAGTATTTGAATACATTATCTGTTTTAGTTACATTATCTATCATCTATTTTTAAAATGTTTGACTACATCATTTATGTAATTTATCTATATTTTTTGAATTTTCGAAATTCGACTGTTTTTCTTAAAAAAGTGCCCTACACTTAACAAGAAAAATTTTAGTTGAGATTGTAATCACTCTATAAACTTTCAATTAATCAAAATGCTTTGTGAAAGATAAGTAATATTTAAATAATATATTTGATTTAATAGTTATTTAGCTTTGTTTTAAATTTTAACTGCCCCAATTTCTTTATAAAAAGTTGTAAATAATATTTCCTGAGTATACTTTTATTTAGAATCAAGTATATAAGTGTATCTGTTAAATTGTTACAATCTTTTTTTTAATATTTAAGATTGAAATTCAGCTAATAAAACCTCATAAAAAAAGTAGATAGATAAAATTATCGAATGATGGAAAATGAGTTAAAAAAACTTGACAATCCACTGAACTCTGAAACCTGCTTTCTGTGGTTTAATTAACATAAGCACAAACAGAAATGGACACCGTTACTTTTGTGAATAGTCTGAATAAATTCACATTTAAAAAACAATAAAAATTCCGTCAAAATAACAATGAAATGCGCTACAGTAATAATTTCATGATTTTAAAGTTTGCAAGATAAACTATTACAGTAAATTTTATTGAAATTCAATAGACAAGTGATAAATTATCAAAAAGTGTATTTTTGACTGTCAATAACTTTTTAATTTCAAAAAGCGTGACAGCATTATAAAATTATAATTTATTCCAAACAATTAAGATGATACATGAGTTGCAGTAACCTTGTAGCCAAAACAGATAATCGTAAGGATTAGCAAATTAAAAACTGTTGTGCTGTTATGCTGCTAAAACAAGTTTTTTCCCTTGCATAGCATCTTAATCACTACGTAAAGGCTTTTCAAACCTTTTTGTGAGCCTTGGGAAGATTACTTCTAATCTACATGATCTTACAAAATACACCTCTGTGGGAAGCGCAAAACCCATTATAATTTATTAGCCTTGCTATTATAACGATGGGAGTAGCCGCGATAGCCTAGTGGTCAAGGTATTGGGTAGTGGCTGGCATGACACGAGTTGGAGCCCAATACCACTAAACACCCACCGTGTAGGGGAGAGATGCACGTTAAATCTGTCGAGAGCTCAAACTTCCTCCCTTTGGTGTGATGTGGTTGTTAGGAGAGAGGGGCTTCAGCTCAGGTGTCGTCCTCGTCACTTGACCATGGCTCAAAACTACGAGGTCCTTCGCCAAAAGCCCTCGAGTAGCTGAATACAGTGCGACGTTAACATTCACTCACTCTAACGATAGGAAGACTAATTCTCGCTTCAGTTTTGTGCTACTGAACATAATCGCTAGTTTATGATGGTATGATTTAATGATGGTACTAAAGAAGAAGTACCTGTGGTCCAAAAGCTGTCGCTGTATATAATAATGCCATGGTAAGGGTTAATCACTTCGATCAAAGAAAAGAAAGATACTAAATAAGAAGTAGATCTGTGAAATCGTATCTTTTATTTTCTTATTGACCTTGCCATCATAAATAGTTTCATACTGCGGCAAATGAGCAGGAGAAACAAAAGTTTAGACCAGCTAACACTCCGTATACAATTAGCTCGTTAGCTAATAGCTGGATATTCCTCAAGAAAAAGTAAAGGACGTCCTGCTAGCTTCCAAGCAAAGAAGTGTATAGTTCCAGATAATGTGGGCTTAGCCAGTGTGGGAAATCATACACCAAAGATGGTTTCCAACTATAGACGATGTAGGAAATGCAGCAGAAAAGAACAAGAAAAGCGGATTCGCTACATGTGTACAGATGTGATGTCCCCTTTTGCATTGCAACATGCTTCTTATCTTTTCATGACAAATAATCATCATTAGATTTAATTTTTCTTATGACGGTGAATGGTTTCTTGGGGACTATTCTTCCCACCCCTAAAATTTAAATGTAAACATTAAATTTGGGTAAGAGATAATATGTAATGGATACATGTAGGGGATAATATATATAAAGCTTTATCAAGACATAACATCATAAAAATATTTCAAATACATTTATTTATAATATATTATTTTAGCTTTTTTTTATTATAACTCAAACTAATGCAAACATTGCTTAAGTTTTTTGAATTGCTAATATTGATAAGACAGTATATAAAATAGAGAAAACATATATATTTTGAACTTTTAAATTAATTCCATATTTTGAGAGATTATTTAAATATTTCTGCTTATTAATTATAATTATTAAATTAGGAGTTTTATTATATAGATATAAATATTAAATTTTTTAAATAAAGAAATTAGCTTTTGTTTATTTTCTTGAAATAGAAGATCTTGCAAACCAGAAAAAAATGCAATAAAACAGTTATCAATAATATTTTCGCAAGAAGTAGAATTTAGCATCTGTTATTTTCACCTTTCAAAAGATGGTTTAAGTATTCTACTGGTTTGACTTTGCCGGATCATGAGAATAATAATAAGAAAAACAATTAAATTAAAAATCTTAATGGGATTTAAAGCTACACATATTAGAAAAACAATAAAGACAAATCTTGTTTATATTTCATAATTTGAAGAAATATTGATGGAAACTGCATTTTTTTTACTTTCCACTATCAGTTTGAACAAAAGACATACTTTTATGATTGTAACAAAATACTTCTTTAGAGCACTATGTTCTTTTATAAATGAAAAAGAGAGATATACATATTTTGACATGACAGTTATTGTATACAAATTATCACAACAAGATCCTTTAATAATTATCTTGTAGATACCTGATCTATAGAGTAAAAATTTCACTCAAAAATTATATATTAAGGGCAATAATAACTTTTAAGACAAGATGTTATATATACGTGATATTTTTCTTTCTCTCTTCCTCAATGTTGTAAAAACTAATATATAGTTACGAATTTTGTGTAAAATAGTTTAAATAATTTGTATTTGGATATTTAATGCATTTATATTACTCTATATTATATTTATTGTAATATTCGCAAGCAACGCCATCCCTTACGTTATAGTGGCGATTCAATGGGAGTTTAGAGAAATCTTGGCGATAGAGCCAAGTTGGCATCAGTTTTGGCGAACAAGGTGACTTTGACAACCAATTCAGCAACTTGGCGACCATTTTTGGCGAGTTCGGGATCCTCTATACTCTGTTTCACCTCAAGTTGGCAGAGTTGGGAAAGGTAGGGAATGTAACAATCCGCTTGAAAAAGTAGTTCCAACATGTTCTGGAATTTAAATCAATGCAAATGCACAGAAAATTATTAAAAGGTATCATGCATTATAGAAATTGTAGGTTTAAAGATATATTTTAAGTTAATCACATCTTAAAAGCTTTTATTCTTAATACCTGTGAACGAATTACAGTAGAAAACAACTACTTGACTTTTGGCTGACAACAACAATATTTGGCTAAAAAACCGGTTTTCAAGATTACATTCTTCCGAAATATTCGCACCAATTCAACGCCATTCGCTTTGCGATTTAACTTCGTTCTTACATAATATTTTTACATCTCGTGGACTATTTTAAATTCTTGTTGTTTTTGAAATTTAAACATTTTTTTTACAACAAAAACAGTTCTAAATATCAAATTATATAATTTTTGTATTAAATTATTATAATAAATCATTTTTTTTTTTTTAAAAAGTTATACTTATTGAGCTGAATATATAAATTTTCTATAATGTTAAAACAAATTTTTTGGAAGTATGCATCGAGATTTTTTTTCCAGAAAAAAATTTAAAATTTAAAAAAGATTATAAGTTTTAATATTGAAAAATTTTTAAAAAAATTTATTATGTACTTCTGTATATTTTAAGCTAACTTCCCAAAACGGCTTTTTAATGGAAAGTGAATAATAAAAAAACCCGTTTTTTAAAAACCCCAGTAATAAGGGAAAAAAAAAAGATGATTAATTATTTATAAACAAGATAGAAATTTTTTATTTTAAAAACCCAAGGGGAATAAATAAAAGGGAAACTAAAGATATATGAGCCGTTTTTTTTTGAAAATGGATAAGTTAAAAAAAATCAATGTAATGAAAAGCATGTGAATACAAATTTAACCGTTTTTTTTCTTTTAAAGAAAATGCAAAAAATGTTGGGAACTATTAATTTTTTTATTCGGGGAAAAGTTTTGCTAGTTAATTAATAAAAATTTTTTTAAAACATATTGAAACATAAACTCAAAAATATTTCGTTTAAAAAGGGGGGTTTCCTTTGTATAAAAAAAAAAAACTCCATAAAATTTTTTAATGAAAAAATTTTTTAAAGAGAAATTTTTTTTGCTCGCCAAATATGGAAAATTTTTTATTTGTTATAGTCACCCCCCTTCTCTTAAAGTAACCCGAAGCATTGTGATTTGGTCAGCCCCTTCCCGTCCCTGTCAACTTAAAAAAACGGAGTATTAAGATTTTTTGGAAATTTGTGGAGAAATATTCTTAATTTCAAGACCTATGAAAAGGGGGATTTTTTCTCAAAAAAATCCAGGCCTATAAAAGAGATGCTCGCCAAAAACCCAGTCAGTATAGTTTTGACCAGCGATTAGTCAGTATTTTTTTGACTAATG